TACATGTCAAAAAGTGACAAGCATTGGCAGACTGTCTGTTAACCTTTAAGACTCCTTTTAACTCCATTACACCTATTTCTTAATTTTCCTTGTTAGAAAACAGAACAGGAACCAGAAGCCTCACCTATATATTGAGCAGGACATTCTGCTAGGTTGACCATTGAGCCAGGAAGAATGTGAATAAAGGAACCAAATGTGGGCCAAGCATGGTGGCTCATGTAATCTCAGTACTTTGGGAGGATGAGGCAGGAGGATCGCTTGAGGTCAGGAGTTCAAGACCAGCCTGGGTAACATAAGGAGACCCTGTTCTAAAAAAAAGTTTTTTAAATTATTGGTGCATGGTGATGCACACCTGTAATCCCAGCTACTTGGGAGGTTGAGACAGGAGGATCACTTGAGTCTAGGAGTTCGAGGCTGCAGTGAGCTATGATTGCACACACTGTACTCCAGCCTGGGTGACAGAGCAAGACTCCAACTCGGGAAAAAAAAAAGTAAAAAGCAAAAGAACCAATTGGGTAGAAAGAAAAGAGCATAGAACTTAATGTTAGAACTTGTGTGTGTTCTGGCTCTTAGTTTACACACCTCTCTGAACCTTAGTTTCTTGCCAGTAGAGTACAGCTAGCAGTCATATTAGCATCGCAGCGTTATTTGTTGTAAGTACTAAATGAGATAACAGATGTGAAAGCACTCTGTAAAGCAGTATACAAATGTTGGCTTTTATAAAACACAGTACCTGTCTTCTAGGAACTTATGGTGTGGCAAAATGTAAATAGTGAATCACAATACACAGCAGAATGAGACAAATGCTATTACAGAAGTGAAACCCATATGCTATGGAAATAAAAAAGGAACATTTAACTCCATTTCATTTCTTGCCTCATTCAAGAAAGATTTTGTGCATCTTGTGGTAGTATGAAAAACCTACCAAGGTAACAAACTTAGAAGTAGGAAAAGATAAAACATCTATAGTAGAGTTGCAGTGTGCAATCATAGCTCACTGCAGCCTCGAACTCCTAGACTCAAGTGATCCTCCTGTCTCAACCTCCCAAGTAGCTGGGATTACAGGTGTGCATCACCATGCACCAATAATTTAAAAAACTTTTTTTTAGAACAGGGTCTCCTTATGTTACCCAGGCTGGTCTTGAACTCCTGACCTCAAGCGATCCTCCTGCCTCATCCTCCCAAAGTACTGAGATTACATGAGCCACCATGCTTGGCCCACATTTGGTTCCTTTATTCACATTCTTCCTGGCTCAATGGTCAACCTAGCAGAATGTCCTGCTCAATATATAGGTGAGGCTTCTGGTTCCTGTTCTGTTTTCTAACAAGGAAAATTAAGAAATAGGTGTAATGGAGTTAAAAGGAGTCTTAAAGGTTACAGACAGTCTGCCAATGCTTGTCACTTTTTGACATGTAATTGTTCAGTCTTTACTTGGACATCTCCAGGGCCAAAAGAGTTCAGTATTTGCTGAAGTAGTCCTGGCTCTTAAAACTGCTACAAAATTCGGCCTCCCTATAATTTCTACCAGTTGGTCCCAATTCTCAGGCATATCTAAAATAAGTCCAATTCTCCCAATGCCTGAAGTTAGCTCTCATGTCTGCTACCCCCACTGGTATCTTCCTATCTCAATCACCGCAGAAATGGCATGGAGATAAATGGAGCCCCGATGGAAGGGGTACTTACACAGACACAAGTATTATACAGGATGCTCAAGCAGTCCTTGGACATTTCATCACTTACTGAAAGTGAAAGAGAAATAACTGGTTATTTTTCTCACTGAAAAGATAGTATAACAGTATTATAGTTTCAACATAGGAACTGTTACAATTTCCTCCAAGATGACTATTTTCCTTTCAGGATATCTACTACTAGTCCTTGTCTATCAATGATTTCCCCAGTGCCCATCATTTCATAATACTTTTTGGTTTGGTATAGTTGCCATTTTATTATTATGCTCCCTAGTCTTCATAATTTCAACCTGTGTGGCACCATCATTTAATAAAGTCATTTTCCCTTTGGGTCCTATTTAGGTTATATCCAGGGTTTTTGATTCTTGGTATTTAAATACACCACAAACAAGTAACTTAATATACATATGTATCGTTTTAATGTTTGTGTTGAATTGGTTCCCTAAGATATAGTTTCAAAAGCAGAAGTACTAAAATCCAAAGTATAATCATATTACTTGTTCTTGTTATAAAGTTCCATTGAAAGTTCTACCATTTTTACTACAGACTCACCAACTGAGTGCTTTGTTTAGGATTTTTTTTTTGTTGTTGTTATCTATGTTAGACAAATGGCTTTTCATGTCTCATCTACTACTAATTCCAATAAAGAACTCACTACTTCCCTGTGAGCAGTAACAGGAGAGTAGCAGAAAAAGGAAACTTAATTTTTATTACCCCACACCAGGAAATGATGAAACAGTATGAACCATGAACAAAATGTTTTGTTTGGTACTGCTTTTATTTTTATTTTTATTTACTTATTTATTTTTGGAGTTGGAGTCTCAGTCAGCCAGACTGGAGTACAGTGGCCGCTCCTGGCCACCGCAGCCTCGACCTGCTGGGCTCTGGCGATCCTTCCCCCTTAGCCTTCCGAGTAGCTGGAACTACAGGCACACGCTACCATGCCCGGCTAATTTTTTTGATTTTTATTGTAGAGATAAGGTCTCGCCAAGTTGCCCAGGCGGGTCTTGAACCCGCGGGCTCAGGCAATTCACTCACCTCGGCCTTCCAAAGCGCGGATTACAGGCTGAGCCACCGAGCCCAGCCCGGCACTGCTTTTATTTTTAAAGACTGTTTCCATTCATTCCTATGTTGCTATAAATACCAAAATGCTAGATCTCCCTCCGAAATCCCAATTAGCAGCTTAAGTCAAGCTATAAAATGATGGGTTGCCTCACATAATTATGAGAAAATACAGATGCCCTGTATCCTTCATCACTACTTTTCAACCTATTGGGACTTTGTGGTTTATTTAATGAATTCAGAAAAAGGTGGAGCATCAGATCAGAATATCTCAGTATTTCTAGACCTTCCATTTTCAAAAGGAATTGGGACTCATTCATTTATCAAGTATTTATTCAGAATCTACTCTAGAGCAAATACAATTCTGAGTAAAAAAAAAGAAAAAAAAAAGAAAGACAAGAAAGTCCCAGCCCTCGTGGAACCCATAAATCTAGTGAGAGGAAGGGAGAATGAACAAGTACACCAGCCAGGCACTGTGGCTCAAGCCTGTAATCCCAGCACTTTGGGAGGCTGAGGCGAGAGGACTGCCTGTGCCCAGGGGCTTGAGACCAGCCCGGGCAACTTGGCAAGACTTTGTCTCTACAATAGATCAAAAATAAAAAATTAGCTGGGCGTGGTGGTACACTCCTTGTAGTTCTAGCTAATTGGAAGTCTGGAGCAGAAGGATCACCTAAGACCAGCAGGTCAAGGCTGTAGTGGCCATGAGCATACCACTGCATTGTAGCCTGAGCGACAGAGTGAGACTCTTAACTTAAAAAAAAAACAAAACCACCAAAACAAGTGCGACAACAATTAATTACAAGATGCTACTTGCTGTAAGGGTAGAGAACATTAAGGAGCAATTTAGACAGAGTACTAAGTTGAAGCACTAAAGATGAATATGAATCCTCTTAACCACAACTGCACATACAAATGAGGACTTTTATAGTATGTCCTACTGATGCCAGGGGTAAAAAAATGTTTTTTAATTTTTAAAAATGCAATGTTTATAGAAGGGCACTCATCAAATGTTAACTGAAGTGATCTCTGGCTTTTAATGCCAGAGCAGAGTGCATTCACTTTTTATTTTAAATTAAATACTGAATACCTAAAAAGATTATTTGTAACATGTGCACGTTATAAGAAATAATATAGAATAATACCCATATACCCACCACCCATCTTAAGAAACAGTATACTACTAAAACACTTTGACTTTTTACCATACATACTCTGGCAATGATCAAACTTTTTTTTTTTTTTTTTTTTGAGTTGGAGTCTCACTCTGTCGCCCAGACTGGAGTGCAGTGGCTGCTCCCGGACACCGCAGCCTCGACCTGCTGGGCTCCGGCGATCCTTCCGCCTCAGCCTTCCAAGTAGCCGGAATTACAGGCATGCGCTACCACGCCCGGCTGATTTTTTAATTTATTTTAGAGATGAGGTCTCGCTGCCCAGGCGGGTCTCAAACCCGCGGGCGCAGGTAATCCACTCACCTCAGCCTCCCAAAGGCGCGGGATTACAGGCTGAGCCACCAAGCCCGGCAATCAAACTTTTTACAAAGAACATATATCACCTTTATAACAAAAAACTACTAAGTTTTTTTAAAAAATAAAAGTGATCTTACCAGGCTATTCCTTACTCTCTCAGCTAGCTATATATGAGAAATAAGAATTAAAAAGAAAACACAAAAGCTGGATCAAAGGGCTATTAGGAAGTACAAAGATGCAATTCTTTTAGCCCAGTGGTTTTCGTGCTTTTTCTTTTAAAGCACCAAATCTGAATTTTTGTCCAGTACAGAAGGAATGAAGAGAGCTGCCTAGTTGGAAGTAGAAAGAGCAACCTGAAGCTAAATATAAGGCATGTCCAAAGTTTTAAGAGTTAAGAAGGAAATAAGAGAACAACTCCTGGGAACTGTCCCCTTATCAGCAGGTTAGAAAATGAAGACTAGCAGTTGACAAGTACACTTACTTTTCAGTTTCTGTCCCCGGATAGAGATTGTAGGCCTCATAAGAATTTCTACAAGCAGCTATTAAAAAAAAGATAAAATCATCAAAATTAATTCAAAGTGCAACTTGTGAAACAATCTTTGTCATGACCATACATGGCCCAAATATGTACTTCAGTATCGCAAGACCCTCTTATTCTTGGAGACAGTAAGGTTCAGTGGAAGGAGCTCTGCAGCAAGAGTTAGGGAACCTGGTTCTAGTCCCATCTCACCCACTTACCTGCCATGTAAATTAAGGCAAGTCAATGACCCTCCTTGGGTTGCAGTGTCATCATTAAAAAAAAAAATTATTTTAGATTAGGTAATCTCTGGATACAATGTGGCTTTAATTATCGAAAAGTTGCAGAACATTATTACTATTATGATTCTTCTTTTGCTTAAAGAACATTTGTGCATATGAGTTTACAAAATAAACTCTCAAAAGATACACCATAAATTGTTAACACTGATTTCTACAGGGATTGAGGATGATATGCATATATTTTTCATTTTATATACTTTTAATACAACATACCATTTTTTGCTTAAACTGTTTAAAATAAGCAAGCATTTAAAAACTCGTTGTTGAGAGAACAGACAATTGGTCATGATAAAAGGGTCAATCCATCAGGAAGATATTATAAACATACATGCACCTAACAACAGAGCCCAAAATTACTAGAAGCAAAAGCTGGTAGAAATGAAAGAAATATGTAATTCAGAAATAATAGTTGGACACTTTAATACCCTTCTTTCAGTAATAGACAACTGAGGGGAAGATAAAAGACTTAAAGATAATCAGCCAACTAGCTCTAACAGACATCTATAGAGCACTCCATGCAGTAAGAATGGAATACATGTTCTACTCTAGTGCACAAAGAACATTCTCCAAGACAGATGATATGTTATGCCTCCAAGTAAGCCTCAATACATTTTAAAAGGCTGAAATAATACAAAATATGTTCTCTGGCCACATTGGCATGAAATGAAAATCAGAATGAAATTTGAGAAATTCATGCATATGTGCATAATTTAAAAACCCATCCTAACTAATCAATGAGTCAAAAAGAAAATCACAAAGGAAATTAGAAACTATCAGATAAATGAATATAACAAAACTTATGATATAGCTAATGTAGTGTTTCAAAGGACACCATCAAGAGTGAAAAGATAGTCACTGAATGGCAGAAAATATATGCAAATTATATGTTCCTTATAAGAAACTAGTTTACAGAAACAACTAATACAACACAATAATAAAAAGACAACTCAATCAAAAAATGGGCAAAGCAGGTGAACAGAAACAGACATTTCTCCAAAAACAAATCTCAAAATGACCAGGAAACACATAAAAAGATGATCAACAACATTAGCCACGAGGGAAGTACACATCAAAACCACAATGAGACCCACTAGGGTGGCTATTTATTTGTTTATTTATTTATTTTCTCTTTAGGATGGCTATTTAAAAAGACAGATAATAACTGCTGGCAAGAATGTGAACAAACTGGAGCCTTTCTACAATGCTGGTAGACACGTAAAATGATGCAGTTGCTTTGGAAAGCGGTTTAGTAGATCTTCAAAAGTTAAACACAGAGTTACCATATGACCACACAACTCCATTCCTACCTATACACCAAGAGAAATTTTTTAAAAAGACAATCAACAGGAAATGAAAACACATGTCCACATAAAAATTTGTACTCCAATGTTCATAGTAGCATTATTAATAACAGCCAAAAGCAGAAACAACCCGAATGTTCACCACTGACAAATAAGATGTGGTATAGCCACACAATGAAATATTTCTTGACAACAGAAAGGAATGGAGTACTGATACATGCTACAATATGGATTAACATTGAAAACATCATGTTATGAGCCGGCTCGGTGGCTCAGCCTGTAATACCATGCTTTGGAAGGCTGAGGTGAGTGGATTGCCTGAGCCTGCAGGTTCGAGACCCGCCTGGGCAACTTGAGGAGACCTCATCTCTACAACAAATCAAAAATTAAGCCGGGCTCGGTGGCTCAGCCTGTAATCCCGCACCTTTGGGAGGCTGAGGGGAGTGGATTGCCTGAGCCCGCGGGTTCGAGACCTGCCTGGGCAGCGAGACCTCATCTCTACAATAAATAAAAAAATCAGCCGGGCGTGGTAGCGCATGCCTGTAATTCCGGCTACTCGGAAGGCTGAGGCGGAAGGATCGCCGGAGCCCAGCAGGTCGAGGCTGCGATGGCCAGGAGCGGCCACTGCACTCCAGCTTGGGCGACAGAGTGAGACTCCAACTCAAAAAAAATATATATATATAAATAAATTAAAAAAAAAAAAATTAGCCGGGCGTGGTAGCGCGCGCCTGTAGTTCCAGCTACTCGGAAGGCTGAGGCGGAAGGATCGCCGGAGCCCAGCAGGTCGAGGCTGCGATGGCCAGGAGCGGCCACTGCACTCCAGCCTGGGCGACAGAGTGAGACTCCAACTCAAAAAAAAAGAAAACATCATGTTAAACAAAAGCAACGATTCACGAAAGACCACATATTTTATGACTCCATTTATATGAAAAGTCCAGAATAGGGAAATCTATAGAGATAAAGGAGATTAGTGGTTGCTTAAGGATGAAGGGCTTGGAAGGAAATGAGATACTCTTGTTTTTATGACTACAAAGTCTTTCTTTTTTGGAGCGATGAACATGTTTTTAAAATCACTTGTGGTGACAGCTGCATAACTCTGAATATACTGAAAACCACTGCATTGCTGTAAGTGAATGACTTTTGACATGTGAATTTTATCTCAACAAAGCTATTATTTAAGACAAGAAAACAGTCATCTCATGCTCAGTTAAAGAAGCCACACATAGAGTGAGCCATGGCTACATGGTGGCCCACTGGCCCCAGTTCACAGGAGCCAGACCCATGTGGAAGCTGCTCCCAGCTACAGGCCTGGTTAGAGAGTGTAACAGATGAAACCCCAATATTGACAATAAAAGGTAATTCTAAGTATGACATTAAAGCAGAATAGCCTTTCTGAAACTTTGAACTCGGGGCCAGGGTTACCTTTGAAGTGTTTGAAAGTAAATTCAGCGGGGCTTGGTGGCTCAGCCTGTAATCCCGTGCTTTGGGAGGCTGAGGTAAGTGGATTGCCTGAGCCCACGGGTTCGAGACCCGCCTGTGCAACTTGGCGAGACCTCATCTCTACAATAAATCAAAAATCAGCCAGGTGTGGTAGCGCATGCCTGTAATTCCAGCTATTCGGAAGGCTGAGGCGGAAGGATCGCCGGAGCCCAGCAGGTCGAGGCTGCAGTGGCTCCAGTCTGGGCGACAGAGTGAGACTCCAACTCAAAAAAAAAAACCAAAAGTAAATTCAGAAAAGAGTGTAAGTCTTTGGTTACATGGTTCTTGCTCAGATGTCTCTGGGAAAACTACTTTATGTCCAAGTTACATTACACTTCGGAAGACTTACTATAAACAACTGGACAAAGAACATACTCACCTTGTCATGGTATAAGTTAAGGTTACCACTAAAACAGTACGTGCACTTATTTGTGAATGTTTGATTGTAAAGCCTGTATATTTTACTGAATTTCTCAAAGCAGTTTGGTCTAAGAAATAGCCTCCACAAATTGAAAGTTTTTGCCCATCTCTTGATGAACCAGCTATTGGAAGTAAAAATACTGATCGGGTGCAGTGGCTCACGCCTGTAAATCCCAGCACTTTGGAAGGCCAAGCGAGAGGATTGCCTGCCTGAGCCCAGGGGTTTGAGACCAGCCTAGGTAACTTGGCAAGACCTTATCTCTACAATAAATCAAAAAATTAGCTGGGCGTGGTGACACACCCCTGTAGTTCCAGCTACTTGGAAGGCTGAGGCAGAAAGATTGCCTGAGCCCAGCAGGTTGAGGCTGCGGTGGTCATGAGGGAGTCTGGGCAACTGAGTGAGACTCCAACTCAAAAAAAAAATTGATCTGTCAGGACGACAGGAAAGAAAACAAATCCACATAGGGGAAACATTTGCAATTTTGAATATCAGAAAGCATAAGAAATTAAGTTCAGTGGGTTTTTTTGGAGGTGGAGAAGCTAGGTTGACAATAGCAGACAATGAAGAAGACAGTTTCTTTACAGTTCCTGAAGCTTATGTTGTTGATACAGGAATAACAAACTCACAGATCTTAATTCCTGACTCTCAGGAAAAAAAGAATTCATTCAATAATGGATATGGTCCAAAGGCAGAGTCTCAGACTTATTCCTGAAACAAAAATTGGATTGGCTATTGTTTTCATGACTACAAGAATTACTGTGATCCCCTAGTCAGCTCGGTATGGGAATTAAGACAACAAATCCGGGACCAAGCCACTAGCAAGACTTGTCAGTTAATGAAAACCTAATGCCAAGCGCCCCAGTGAACACTAGCTCAGGGGTACCTGACACAGAATCAGAGTAAGCAGACACATGTATGGATTCGAGTGAAAGGCCAAAGAAATCAAAATCTCTAGAATGGACCAAAAATTTAAAATGCTTTCACAAGAAACATCTCCAAAATAAAATCTAATAATAATAGTATAGTATTAAATACTCTGGTTAATGTGAAAATCCCAAATTATCAGCTTTCACCAACTAAATTCCCAGATGTAAAAATAAGTAGAGACTGAGTTTCTCAGCAGCAGATCAACTCCATCAAAAACTCTTTCAACCATCTACCAAAAAAAAGCAAAAAGGATGAAGAAAATCAAGAAATGTCTTCATGCAAATCAGCAAGAATAGAAATGCCTTGTTCTCTTTTAGAACAAACACAACTTGCTACACTCTCAATATGAAAAAACAAGGAGCAGTATCTACCTCAGAATGAGCCCATGAACAAAAAATCAGATAACTTATTTACAGATATAGGTTTAAAATTCAATGTCAAAAATTGTGCCAATAAATCTCTTTCTACAGAAAAGCTAAGATAAATAGAAGAAAAGAAGGCTGGGCATGGTAGCTCACGCCTATAATCCCAGCACTTTGGGAAGCCAAGGTGAGAAGACTGCCTGAGCCCAGGGGTTTGAAACTAGCCCGGG